GGGAGAGAGAGAGAGAGAGAGAGAGAGAGAGAGAGAGAGAGAGAGAGAGAGAGAGAGAGAGACTGTTGGGATGCGGCCATAGCCACCAGACTGTCTACAAGTTCGTTGTTGTATAAGACCCTGGTTTCTGAATAAAATTTGAAGATCTCATATCTTAGGTTGGTGTCCATCTGTTGTGTCGCTATAGTGTGATGAAGTGTACACTCAGTATTGTGAGATGTTATGTGAAGTGTGGGCTCATTGCAGTACTCTCGATTTCTTTTTTGTTTGTGAGGGTAGTGAGAGGAAGGCCATGATCACACTATGACTTTGTGGACTGCATTTGTCACGCAGTCCAGTGCTGGTGCTGGTGCTGCTGGTGCTGCTGCTGATGCTGCTGATGCTGCTGCCACTGCTGTGTGAACAAACTTCAATTAAGCACAAACCTGGTGCAAAAAGAAAATCAAGACTGATCTTAAGAGCGATGTTACATCAGGTCAAACTCCAAATTTTTGAATTTCCTGATCAATGCAATTGAGGGGATCCATGATGGATGGCTCAGTCTTTACATCAGGGCCAAGTCCAAAATTTCAAGCATGCTAAAATTTCCAACCAGGATGCAGTATGTGAGTGCATGATGGATAACCTTGTCTTTGGGTGATGAAGACCTGCTTCCCAGGGAATCCCATTTGTGAACTTGGATTGGAATCTACAATTGACTAGGCCGATGTATCTTTCTTGTGTTATTTTCTTATTTCTTGGCTTTATGGTGTGATGACACTGTGATTGGCAACCCAATTCTTTGCTGTGCCTTCATCTAGAATCAAGCCAGAGATCATAATGTTCAGGCCGCTGGATAATCACAATTTGTTTCAGGCTATGATTGACAGAAAGCAGGTGAGTCACCATGCATGAGCTATCACTTCCTGTTTTGGAAGGAGACCATGCACATACAAACGAAGGGTGTTGTTCTTCTTATCTTTTTTTCTTTTTTTTTATTGGACCATTTGGCCGCCGCCCGGCCGGGCGGGCCCAGGGGGGTCCACCCGGCGAAACCGGGCGACGCAAAAACACAGCAAGGAATTTTTTTATTTTTTTTTTGAAGGCGGGGTTGTGCTGCGCTACCCTAGAGGACCACAAATCTGCAATAAAAAAGTTAAGTTGGGGGGTGGGGAGGTTGGGGGGGTGGGGGGAGTGTGCTGAGGGAGGGATGTCAG